ACTCTAAATAATAAGTCATAGTCATCTGCTTTGGTTTTTTCAGAAGAAGAAATTTTCAGTGGTAGTTGTTCTTTTAGTTACTAAAAAGCAAGTCAATGCTCAATTTCGGCCGTGAGGATGAGAGTCATACGTATGAAACTGACATAAAGCTTTTTTGATGCCATATTATGACTATGACTTATTATTTAGAGTAGTAAACAAAAGTATTATACTACCCTGTATATCTCGTAGACTCTGATAGCTAATCTGTTACAAAGTTTCAAAGTGACATAAGTGCTGGATGAACCAGGATTTAGATTGAAATATAATGAAAGAAACCTACTTAGAATCAAGATTAGATGTTTAGAGTAATTCTCTTGAAGAGTGAATTCTTCACATTCATTTGGATGACAAGTTTCATTTCCATATTTAAAGTAATAAATAAATGATAAATGCCCTTGACGCTCAGAATGACTTTGCAATTTTTTGTACTTTTAAACATTTTAGCATTGTGCATGACTAGAAAAATGCAGATAGACTACAGGTTTAGCACAAAGAGTCTAATATATATTTCTTTTGTTAATCAATTCAAAGATCATGTTCAGAATTTCAACAAAAGCGCAAACTTCACCAACTTTATATCTCTTTGCAAAAAGACTGGATTTGAAGCTTTTTCATTGAAATATGGTACAAAAGTCAAAAAATACTGGTAAAAAGTAGCCAGTCGAGAAAAAGTTCTACCAATCCTGTCCGGCGAAACCGATTAGAACTCTGGAACGCGCTATTCTTTTGCACGCTACACATATTACCAATATATTCTCAGATTTTATTCGTATCTAAGTCATCAATCAATACAACCAGGATCATGATCTGTTGCAGATTCTCTAGCCAAGAAGTGATTGAACAAAATCATACTGAAGTCCATGAATAGTGAGGATCAGTTGATTGCGACTATAATGATGGCAATACAGTTTTTAACGCTGTAGAATCGGATGCTAACGAAGTTTCCACAATCCAAACTTGTAATTTTTTTATTTGGTTGATAGATCACTTTTTGGAAATTGAGATAATCACAAAGTACAGTAAATATCAGAGACTGAAACGGGTCGACTCGACCGGCGGATCGAGTCAAGTCCGGTTGTATCGGGTCGGGTTCGGGTTATCCACCTAAGACCTGATTCGGTCTCTGGTTTGTGATCCTTTACTGTTTTGGAAAGACATTTCAAAAACATTTCCTCTGTTGGCTAACGTAGCCGAACACATTCTGGCTATTCTGACTACATCAGCTAGTGTAGAGTGCTCAGTTAGTGATGCAGGTTTAACTATTACAGAATTGAGAACAAATAGCAATCCGGATTCATTGAACGACTGTGTATTTTTTAGATCTGTAAAAAAAGAAATGAAAAATTGATTTATATTTGTTTAATTGTAAGTACATTTTGTTGTTATACTGCTGGTGTCAAGAAAGGAAAAAAGAGAAACATAGTGGCGAAGGGAGATCTTTACGAGGGTCCTCCCATTTAGATTTGGTTCAAAGTTTCCCAGATTGTACAGGACACTTCCAAATATATATGAAAAGAGTTTGAAGGTTTACTGACTTGTACCTTCGGCGTTTTTTGCCCATTTTTTAAAATTTAAATAAAATTTTACTTTTCAGTTTGGAATCTCGGTTTTGTAACCAATCAATAGAGCGCCTCGAGATGTATATGTGAAAAGATTGTCATCGTTTCTGGACAAGGTTTAGGGGAGAAAGTCGGATTTGATCTTGAGAATGGGTTTTAGAGTTAAAAGTGTGCTCTTTCGAGATTTTGCCTACAGTTTCTCTGCGGGGAAGCATTTTGGAGTGGAAATGTGAGTGTAGAAGTTGTAAATCATGTTTTTTTCTATGGAGCAATAGTTTACTGTCGCTAAATTTCTTAATGTCAATCTTTAAAATTGAAAATGCTGAGACGCTGCACTGCGGAGAAAACGCGCTCAGATTTCGACGATATTTTGACGAGCCAGAAGAAAGTGTCCAGAAAATCTGAAGCTCATAGAACATAGACACCTTCACATACGGAATTGAATGGAAGTGTCAAAAATTACATCATAAAATCCCCCTTAAGTGCATGATCTTCAAAAATCTGCAGGTGGATCGGAGCGGCAACTAAAAAACTTTTCCAGTTATTTCTGTGAAGTGTACATCATTGGTTTTGTTTTCTGAATAAATTTTAATGTACCAGTTAAAGTCAGTATAGGTTCTTTTTTATTTAATTGGGATCTGTTAATGGTCTTTTCTTTTGTTTTTCTAAAAACTTGTTTTCTTCTATTTCAATGAATATCTCGTATAATCTTCTAGGATTGAAGTCGTTAAACCAGTTAAGCAATCAATGGCTTTTGTTTTCGTTCGTAGTAGTATAGTTTATTGTTATCGAAAGCTTACATGTTGACAATACGTGTGAATAAAGTAAAACTCAAACTGAGATTATACAAGTTTTTTGCGTTTGTTATTTTTTTCTCTCTTTCTTAAGATTATGGATTAATTGATGAGATACTATCTGTATACTGATAAATGAAAAAGTGAACAATTATTGCCTCTCGAATCTTTTTAACCGTTTACTATTTAATAAAAACGTGTCAATACTTGTCAAAAATAAAAAATCAACATATATACGCCCCATCTCTCTTTGACAGTGATAATAAGTAAATAAAAAATTATTAAATTAAATAAGTATTCTATGATATGATATCTTATGAGAGGAAAACAAAATTTCTTTACTTGTTCTCTTTCATTAGATGTGGTATGGGACAATGACCATCATACTCTATTTATTAAATCAAAGCGGCGACAGTAGCGGATTTTCTTTTTAAAAACACGTTCACAACATTTAACAGTGAAAGATAGACTACATGTCATCCATGAAAGAAGAAATGCTTTAATTATACAACAAGATCATCTCTCATTTTGAGTTCTATATACAATTGTTAACGTTGTTTATGAATAATTATGATGTATTTAATTGATAGTTAATATAGCCAGTGAAGTTGACGTGTTAAACTATCCTCCAGCAATGAACATGTTATGAATCCTTATACGACATCAAGCTATTCTTCTCCACTTTATCCATTTCCAATCGCTTTAAATAATAATTGTGGAACATTCTTACAACCATCACCAACATCTTTACATCCAATATTTCCTTTTTTTCCATCATCCGACCGATTTGCAGGTAATTTTGTAGATATCTTTTTACAAATTTTTTATTTAAACTCAATCGTTTAGATTTTCTTCTTGATACACGTCATCCACGAAAACAGCGACGATCGCGTACAGCCTTTACTAATGAACAATTACAAGCTCTCGAAAGATGTTTTGGAAAAACGCATTATCCTGACGTTGTGATGAGAGAAAAATTAGCATTGTACACAAATTTGCCAGAAGCAAGAGTACAGGTAAAACAACTGTCAACAGTTTTCTTTTTCTCTTTTCATCTCTCATATTTGTTGTTATTGTTACAGGTTTGGTTTAAAAATCGTCGTGCCAAATATCGTAAAAAGCAAAAAGTTATTGATACAGAAATACAGTCTCGGCAAAAATATCTTCAAACAACATCCATGAAAGAAGAAGAAAATACTGCGGATAGTAGTGATAACGCAGAAAGTAGTGACGATGAAGATGAAGAGTGTTTAAGTTCAAAAGAAGAAATAATTGTTGATTCAGAATATCCTACTAATAATCCAATATTAGAAAAAAACAAGCATAAACCTGAAAATTTAGAAGAAGCCAACGTTGATGTTGACAATAAAATTGAATTGAAAGTTGATAAAGATAAGAAAGGTGAGATTTGAAGAAAATGATTACTTTATAGAGAGTATCTTAATATCTAGGGAAAAATTTATCTTTGAAAAAACGTGAAAAAATTTGTATAAAAGAATTTGATGTATAACTATTTTCGTCGTAGATAACAAAATCTAGTGAAACTTATACATTTAACTGTACTGAACATGAATTTTAAACTTGAAAAATCCTTTTTCTTCGTTGAGATGACAAAGTAATATTAAGCTACGGTACAAATTTTTTCCATTTTTATGAATTGAGTTCCACCATTCTATTAGGCTAGCATTTTTAATAATCCAAAACCGCCAGACAGATGTAGAAATAGTTGCTAATTCTGAATATAGTAGATTCTATCTATTGTTGTGAATACTTGTAATCATAATGTCGGAGAAAGAAGACACGAAAACATTGTATTAAATAGCATATTTTTAATACCACGTTCTATCGAAGATTGAAGTTAATATAGAGATGATATCGTATAGGCCATACATCGAATTAACGTGGTGTGAAGAAAAGAAAAGAGCTGCTTATCTAAAAATAGAAAAAGTAGATTAGATTAATCGCAAAAGGCTGACTTTATAAGTTGTTTGCTGCATTTAGAGACGCTCCGAGGCTCTGCTGGGGCGATTCAATATTCAGAAGTAACTTTTAGTTTTTTATCTCAAATCGCGTTAAATTGTCGATAATGTGTTTAGAATATCAAGAAGATAAAATTTGATTTAAATGTTTAGTGAACAAATTTATTGCGTTTCTCAACCCTTTTTGAAAACAGTCATTTTTTCATTTTCATAACAACAATGCAAGATTAAATGCAAAAGAACTCAAGGATTTCAATGTTACCCTTGTTATGCTGCATAAAACAATAAAACAAAATTTTCGAACAAACATTTGGAAAAGAGTGCACGATTTAACATATTCTTTTTGAGACCGATCTGATTTGTGAACATCTGCAATTTACATAATATTTAGATATTCAGATGTTAAGATCTTCAGTTCTTCTAATTCACTCTGATCTCACCGCCCTTCCCCTCCCTAAATATCTAACATTTGAATATCAGAGTATTTAAATATCTGAACATCTAGATATTATGTAAATTGTAGATGTTCACAAATCAGACCCTACTGTTCTACTTGTAAATCTTTCAGGAAACTCTAATGTTTAATTCTTTGGCGACGGGAAGCCCATATATAGGCAAATGTAGCGACACTCCTGTAACTCAAGAATCAAAAGAGCTAGTGACTTCTAATTTTGTGTGATCATAGCTCTTACCGCATGCTGACCATCCACCAAGTCTGGGTCTCTTTTACTGGATGGTTCGTGAGATATAAATGATTTATTTCTTTTCCGTAAAATATCAATAGCTCCTCATCTAAGAAAGATAAAAACTTTTTCTTTTTAGAAAAATGTAGCCACGATTCTACTGTATCTACGATATGAATTTCTTGAGTTGGCAGTTAGTAGTCAGTTAAATACAGTTATTTTATGGGCGACGTTCGCGATTTTTTGTTGAAAATTCGAGCTTCTTTGCGAAAAAAATTCACAACTCAGTCTAGGAGCATCATTTTGACTTCAAATTTACATCAAAGACTCTACAGTGTCTGTAGATTATCTAGCCAAAGTATGAAGATTAACTATTGTGTGCTTCTGAAAATTCATTGAGAACGAGCACCCACGATTGAAACATACGTAGAAGAGCGACAGTGGCGAACTAAGGGTCACTCTTTATACTATAGAATTTGCATGCAATGTACATCTTAATCATGAAAAAATAATCATAGAAACCTATGATTCCGAAAAGCGTATGGGAAACTTTTATCAGAAAGATTACATTCTCACCTCTGACCTTCGCCATTTCACTTATTTTGCGTCCTTTTCACTTCCGTTATATTTTCAAGCAAAAGTAATAACATATTTGAGATCAGCAGACAAAACTCGGTCTAATAGCATACTTAACATTCGGTTTTCAAACAAACAAAATTTTATTGATGATTTTCTCTCTAGTGGGAAGACCGGACGTATATATACGTCTCCCGTCGCCAAAGGGTTAAGAAAAATGCCTGAACATTTTTTTTTCATCGTTTTATTAATCATATTTTAGTGTTTAGCATTGGAAACGAACGTTTGTAAATTTTTACCAACTAAACTCATAAAAACTAAACAATTTTCTAATAAATATAATTAATAAATATATTTTCAAATTATGGATTTAGCTGCGAAAAAATTACACAAAGATCATGTTTTAATTTTAAAAAAGATTTGTGCTACGTCTCACTTTTCATTAGCGGATACTTCATCTGTTGACAACTTTCTAAGCTGCAGAAAAGTTAAAAAAAACAACAACAATTCGAATTGAACACTTTCGATCTCGATAAACACAAATACAAGATTTCTAATATACATAGGAAGGTCTAATAGACGATAGCTGAATGACATTGGAGGTGGGGGGGAGGAAGGTGTAGGAGGGCTATAAGTAAAAGACATTAGAGTGAGACGATTTTCCTGTCCCCCTCTTTTTATAATCATCTCATTGTTACGCGTGAATTGCTCATTCTTTACGTGGATAACTTTCAAATTTTAGTTTTAAATCGAATGAAAAAAGAATGGGAAAGATCTCCTATTAGTAAAGTAAGGGAGAAGATCAGACGCGTATTCTCATGGAATGCTATGTTCAGATTAATCACTATATTATCTTCCACATGTCATTGTTAGTTTGTTGACCATCTACTGAACTATTGTAAAAATCAAACTTTGCTTGACTATATTATAAATAAATATATCTGTCTTACAGAAACTGCGGACAAAGAGGCAAGATTGTTGATTCCTACAGATAAAACTGCATTATCTCGTAAGTAATTTTTAATTTGAAATAGCAAGTTTCGTGGCGTGTTTTCATGTTCTCTATTTAGACTTATTGACGACCACCATAAATCCAAATTCACTATATGAACCATATCAGCTAAAGCCACCAGCATCCTCGTATATTTTACCGCCACAGTTTGATTTTAATAGTTTATCGTATGCCTTCTCTGTTGGGCAGAATCATTCGGCTGCTGAGTTAAGTTATAGTCTAAATTATTTAAGATGGAGAGCTCAAAAGCATATAGAAGATCTTTTGCACAAATAACGACGGATATTTCGTTTTTTCTTTTGAAAGCGAATTTACAGTGAATGAACATAACAGTTTTTCTTCTTAGTAAAATCTACAGTGAACATAGCAACAAGTCGTTTTATGTAATATTTTTTTTTCTTGCATTTATATTTGTAAATTTACCAAAGAAGTTTAATGAACTTAATTTCTTACAATAGATATATCTGCTATATAATCTCTCACTGTTTCAAGCTGCCTAAGTATTAAAAACTAAGAAGAAAACAAAATAGCGTAAAATATCATCTCAACATTAAGTTGTTTGCAGCATTCATTGAAGCATTCATCCATTTTTTTAACTTGAACACTAGGAGCTGAACAGAAAAAAAATAGAAACTAGTATTTCTTCTATCGTCTATGAGATTTGGTTAAAGTATAAATCTGAGATAAGCAAAGTATAATCATCAAGTAAATATTAATGATGCTATACTCTGCGCTTGAAAATACTTAGATCATACTAAAAGTACTGGCATTTGTAGATAAAACCTCACATAATAGAGTTAATGAAGTTTTTACTTCAGGAAGTATTTGAACGATTAGCCATGATGACCCACACACAATCAGTTTGTTCCAAGGCATTTGTTTCGAATCATCTTCGGTTAAAAAAATCATCATCTTGGTTACAGTACTCAATGCAATGATTAAGGGTCGTTTGATTGATTAAGTTTATCAATCGGATAGAGCACCTGACAACTACATCGTCTGAACCAGTAGAATAAGATGGATATAAAATAAGCATGATACGTTCTGATTCGAGGCAGTAAAAAAATATTTTTATGAGCATTTGGTCGGACGTTGTCATTATGAAATTTGATGTTATGAGTAGTGTCTGATAATCTTTGCCTTCTCATTTCGTTGGTACGTGGTTTTAGGAAATTTAATTAATAATTGATATAATACTGATGATCACCAGTCTGTCCTCTTTGCATATTTGTCTCTTCTTTAAGACTATTCGACTAGTTGTTTTAAGAAAAGACACAGACAACGTTTATAGTCTACTTTGCTGCGTCAAACTATAGCTGATGCAGATGCTTCGCGTATAGTCCCACTGCTTCGAGGAATATGAATTCATTTATGTTTCACAAATCAAGTACTTGTCATCTATTATCGCTTCACGTATTCGCCATATTTCTTTAGTTCATGTTCAACAAAATTGAATCAATCAAAATAGTTCCTAACCATTGTATTGAGTGCTGTAACCAAGATGATGAATTTTTTAACCGAAGATGATTTGAACAAATTGATTGTGCGTGGGTAATCATGGCTAGTAGTTCAAATACTTCCTGAAGTAAAAACTTCATTAACTCTGTTATGTGGGATTTTATCTGTAAATGCCAGTACTTTTGGTATGACCTTAGTACCTTAGATTTAAAAAGAGATAGCTCTCGTTAGAACATCAGACAGATATCACAATCCCATTACGATTCGGATCGGCAGTTTTTCTAGCATTAGCTTCATCCTTTAGTGTACTATTTTCGGCAGGGTCATATTCTTTTCATTAGCAACAAACTAAATTTTTCAATAAATAACAAAATTTCCACTTTTTCGTTGCTTTTATCACTCGGAGCTCTTTTCTTCTTATTCAGCACGTAAAACTTGTTTAAAAACTCAGATTTGACATTATTAAAATATAATGTGAGTACAAAATCTTTTGAACCAAAGTAAAACCATTTGAATGGTCCCTGCAAATCGATCTATTTTACCAATTGATTTCCTTCCTTGTCTTCTATACACTGGCGAAAACCGCTCTTTATCGTTTATCTATCACAAGCTATTTTAAAATGAGTTTTCTGCACTATATATTTTAATGGAATAGATTTGCAAACTCTCCAAGGACCATTCAAACGGTTTTATTTTTGTTGGAAAGTTTATTCACACATTATATTTAAATAATGCCAAATCTTAGTTTTTAAACGTTTTACGTGCTGAATAAGAAAAGAAGAGCTACAAGAAATAAAAGCAACAAAAACGTGGAAATTTTATTATTTACTGAAAAATTTAGCTTGTTGTTAGTGAATTTAAAAATTTCAATATTTTCAACTTTTCTCCTATAAAAGTCATTTCAAAAAAATACAATACACACTTTTTTATGTAACTCAGGAAGCTGTATCCAAATATGGATATATAAAACAAACAAAAAATTGTGCTCGAATTTTGAATTATGGGCACCTTACGACTTAGTTGCAAATAACTAAATAATTTAATAAAATAAAATAATAAATTAATAAGGACAAAGCTGTCGTTACTTTCAGTTACCTTCACGTTATCGATGAGTAACTCTTTAAAGCCATATGCGCACATATATCATGACTTTTAAAAAGATATCTATGCTTTAGTCTCGTATTCTGCGCAGTTTTTTAAATCAACAGCTAGCCCCAGCACAATGTTGAACTCATCCATCATATTTCCAGCTGTTATGTACCAAAAAAATGCAACGTCCAAGGAATGAGAGCGTAATACACAGAACGTTACCTTGCAATACATAACGCACTGTAAGCCAATAGCCGAAATATTTGAATTTCTTTACACATTTGATTTAATGTGAGCCACAAAAAGATTAAACTGAGGGTTTTCTATAGCGCATGCTGACCGTACAAATTGTACGGAACAACCACTGCTTTTTTTACGTTCTGAAATGAAGTAGAAATCCGATGAATAATTTTATTTGTCAGTATGTTCTTTCACGATTCTTTTCTATTTCTATACGAAGCATTTTATTTAATCAGCTAGATTACAAAAAAAATTAAAAACATCATTGTCTAACTCATTGTTTATATCGTCTACGTTATTCTCTGCGTTTTAGAAACGCAATAAAAATGAGACCAATGCAACTTTACTCATTCCAATAATGTCTCAAGAAACAGAAACAATAAATTTTTTAAATGAAGAAAATCAGAGTCTATTGCTAAGAGACGTTCTCTTTTCATTTGCAGATTATTGCGAAAGAAATAATGAAAATACGAACTTTAACTCAAACTAATAGAAAAGAGAACTGGAACAAACGCTTCTTCCCTATCTTTCCCGTAGTTTAAATCTCCACGCAACGATAATAGGTCGATCCATTTGACGGTATACCATCTGGATCCTTAAATGTATAAGTCGAACCATTTTGTGCCATAAAGTCATGTCTAGCATAATACTTCGATTTCAGAAAATCTGCTGCATTTCCTGATGTAGGAACATTTTTGTACGTGTTATATCTCAGTAATGCATAGTGTTTGCTCATGATCAGATTTGAAACAACCACAGTACCGTACATTACTATTGGTTCAGATCCTGTTGATAAATTCGGTTCATCCCATGAATTGATGTATAGCTGAACGCGAAATGTAGCATGATTTTCGTCTAGGATACCGGTGATTGCATAACCATATCCAACATCTTTTGGAATAGATCCGCCACTAAGAGTATCGCTGTCACATTTTTCTCTTGTTTTAATCATATCAGTCTCACACAACTTTCGATGAAGTACTTTATTCTCAAATAAACTAAAAAAGTACAATTCATCTGTTGAATCATATTTATCTGAAGTTTTTGTCGAATATTTAATTCCTATAGCCGGCACTATATGGTCATACTCGATACTTGGAGCAACTTCATCTAAATCAGTGACATAAACAGTAAATATACATGGAAAGTGTCCCATTAACTGTTTCTTTAACCATAGACAGTAGTTTTTATACTGTGGAGTCTCCTCTGTCTCAAAATTCCAGCGCTCATATTTGAATAGAAGAGTTGTTATGGTATTTTGATCATTCCCATCATCCGTTAGTAAAAATTCTCCGTCATTTATTGTTCGTACCAACTGTTGAGATATCCATGAACCATAATAGAGACCTAAAGAAAAAAATAGCCTATTCGGTTTTACGAGGGAACTACTCCGTATCTAATCGCTTTCTGGCTGTAATATACTTTTCTGATATGCCTTTTAACGCTAATCATAAATATGATATCCGTTTGTGTCCTTAGGTGTCTCTCGGATGGTTCTCTGAAAATTTAACTGTGCAAAAAACCGAAATGTTCCATTTGAATACTGGATTTGAAATCGAAATTTTATCTCTACAAAAACTTGTTCATTGGCCCGAAAAATTTCTCCACATAGGTGGCTTGATGTGCTCTACAATCTTGTGCTGTCAGAATGTATTCAACTGGAAGTCCAAATTGGATCTTCATGCACCCAGTTTCCATGTTCGGCCAGCGCCAGATTCTAGAGCACATCA